CAGTGGGAGAAAACATTGGAGTAGTAGAATGATTTAATTGTTTCATTGGGCCTGACTTTTTCCTGGGGTGAATAAGCATGGCAGGACTGATTCCCTGCTGCAAAGGTAGTGTGCAGCATTTTGTACAGCCCCACAGGAAAATTCAAGAGTATGAGGAGCAAACTCCCCCTGACTTACTCACAGCTTCACTAAGGCAAAACCAGATCCTGCTTTACTGTACATTTATTTGTCAGTATTTTACATTAGACCTTAAACAGAGACATGAAATGGATTCTTTACTTTAAAATTAATGATCCCCGTATTTAGAAAGCCCATACTAGTCTTCTGGGTTTTTTATGGCTTCTTTTTGCATTAAGACAACTATGTGACATAAAATAAAAATAAAAAAATAGTAAAGTGCAAGATCTTTAAAAATGTGTACAAATTTCTTTGTTGGGGTTGGTTTTGTCTTTGATGAGTGGTGAATTTACAATAAATCTACATGAATGTACAGTACATTTACCAGTCTTGAATTACTCAGTCCTGTCCTGTGCCACTTCACTTACGGCTCACGTGGGAATGATGTGGCCAAGTGTGTGTCTGGTCTACCCACACTCCAAGTGTTTGTGTGGCTTCTAGGCTGGGGCTGACCTGCACCTGGCTGGCTGGAGCATGGGCTTAGCGCCATGCTAATGTGATTACATGGCTTCTGGAGAATATATGGCTTGCATCCAGTCAGGCAGGCGCACGGGCACGGGAAGGCGCAAACTAGCTGCACCCATCCAAGCAGACAAGTCCTGAGATGCCATACACTGACCTCTAGCAACACACAGCAGATCTACAGGATGACTTGTCTGAACTATGGAACTGTGATCCATAAATAAATTTTGTATCTGATGGCTACACTGAATTGTGTAATTTCAATTTGGAAGTTAGTCTCCCCCATCCCAATGGAAATACTGATATTCATGTAACTGATGGCAACAGACCCAAGAAGGGTAATTTTAACATCAACCAGGAATGAAACCCATTCCTGTTGGAGGACTAGAGCAGGACTCCTCTCTATACTGTTGAGTGCACTTTCTGCAAGTATTTTTCCAGGTACAAACTCTTCAATTTAACTTTCCAGGAATAGGAGGAAGACAAGAATCACCTGCTCAAACCATGACTCTTTCTCAGATAGTTGTGTCATTGAATTTTACAAGAGGTAAAATTGTTTCCAAGAATACAAGTGAATGCAATTTTTCTCTTTGTACATAGCTCCCAGGATAATTAGGTTTGTTAGGCAACTGCATTTATGAAATATGGGATCCTAAGATAAATGTCTCTATCTTATCTAGGTTAATGGTAGAAATCTGTATTTTGTTGGACCAGTTGTTGGAGAAGGGATTATTTCTTTGTTATAAAACCATCTGATACAGACTCATACTTGATTCAGAACATAAGTTATATGGACCATAAGATGCTATTTTAAGGAATTACTGCTGAAAGAATACTAATTAGAAAACATTGTATATCCCCTTTTTGCAAAATACATAATGAAGTAAAAGACAACCAGAGAAATAATCCCTTAAAAAACACCCAAACATTAATAATATTTCTAAGCATCTATTTTTTCACTGTACTCGGATTAACTACATGTTTAACTTACTGCTTTGTGGACCTTCATATCCACACACAACAGTACCATGAGTGACAGTGACCATAAACTACTTTGTAGTAGTATATGTGGAAATTACATGGTAGGTTCACTGCTGTTACAAACATTAAATGACATCTAATGTCACCCACTGTGTTTTATGCTTCATGAAGTTTATGTAGTCAGTCACATCAATTGGATACATAAGCAGAAGCATACAGACACAAGACCCTGTTTGCACTACAAGAAAGCACTAGCTTTCAGTAAGAAAGTTAATTTAGAGACCACAGAGCTTTGCTGAAAGATTTTTGCATGTCTACATGTAGTTTGTGAGGAGAACATCCTCATACCACACTTTCAATCACACTTATAGCATATACCCTACAGATGTGACCAGCTGGCTTCTGCAGAGGGAAGGCAGCTTTTTCTTTTTTTTATTTGTGTGTGTACATGTGTGTGTGTGTGTGAGTGTAAAACAGAGAATTGTTGTAGGATTCCAATGGTATTTTGTACCACTGGGGTCCATTCTTATATTTAATTCCAATGAAGTTAGTGCAGAAAACCTTTACAACAGGTTACAATCTGAACCATGATCCTACTCAAATGCTACCGGAAATCCTTTCCAAAAATCACGTCCAGCATTGGTTCTGTTCAGAGATAATGGTGCCACAGAGAGTTGGCTATCTAATCTGAAGTTGCATTCTTACCTTACTTACTGTGTTGCCAAGCTAGAACAGGATCCTTATAGTAACACCAATTTTTCTCTTAATTATTCATTTATGCTTGATAAGGATTATGCAGACAGCAACATCAATTGAATAAGTGAGAACAGGCATACAGGGAGGTGGAAGAGGTTTCAACACCAATGAACTTACTGTAGAATTTGGGCAGTGTGCAGAACTAGATCCCTGGTGAAATCATTCAGAACTTTGAAGAAAATAGAAACTGAATTTTGACTTCTAGGTGTGCAATGCTGAGAAATGTTCATGATCTCACAGTGAAATAATTATGAGCAATGAGAAACACTTAATGCTGGGAAATTTGCTGCCACTGTAAAATAGGAGAGTCATAACAGGTGGTGTGCATTTCTGGCAGCACTGAGCCTGAACAGCTCATGGACATCCAGTCACTGGGTTGCAGCAGTTCTTGGCTGTTCTCTCAGCATTCCAGCTAAAGACTGAACACCTCCTGCACAGGATAAGGGAGTAAGCTTCTCTCTCCATCCCATTCCTCTCTTTTCACTACCAGCCAGCACAGCTGTTGTTTTGTTATCAAAGAGCACATTGGCATGCAAGTATCTTTAAACAGTTTACCACAGCATCAGAAAGCTGCCTTTATAAGTGGAACCATCTTTCACAGCCTGTCTCCATAGAAAGCACCACACAACTGAAATCTGTCCTATTACCTCTGGAGCTGAGCTACCACTGACTCCTCAGTTATTCGACCATTTGAAAAATGATCTGCCCAACAGATGCAAGGCAGTGGGAGCCATGAGGTGTCTTATTCTGGAGAGGAAAAACTTATTTTTAATACCTTCCAAGATAAATATGTTGACAGAGACAAGCAGAAATGGGAAAGAAATTAGATACGTTTTAAGACAGCATACAACTGTCATTACAGGATATCAGTCCTTAACTCTATACATAAAAGTCTTCCTTTAAGTTGTTGATGCCTGTTGTGGACTGAAATATTCCCACTGTGTATAGTTTTCAATTAGTTACTTTCTTCTCCCTACCTGCCCCAACTCTGCAGAGTGCATCAGAGTGCTCTTACAGCTCTGAAGGTCAGGTAGGGCTTTTTCCTTTCCAGTATGGGAATTGTTACACCATGAAGTAAAAAAAAAAAGAAAAAAAAAAGGTAAGGGAAGGGAATGGAAGGGAAGGGAAGGGTAATGGAGTAATGTCTTGAACAGAGATCAGACTTCGGACTAGTTTCTTTATTTGAAATGTCAGATCAGTGAATCTGGGGATCTTAGTATTTTGTACACTCACATATACACAGCCCTCTCAGATCCTGCACACACTCCTTCAGATCACTCTTATTCTGCTCACTTGGGAAAGGATTGCCTGTTTTGAGCATTGTCATCAGAAATAAAAGCATTTTGTGACTCCCCTGGAATAGAATATACTGTGGAGTCAGCTCTGTATTTTGGGACATATTTCTTTTGAGCTCAGATATTGGTTTATAGATTTGCTTAAGCAAGGTTGCTGTTCCTGTCAGTAGAGGGCACTGCAGGTATGTAAATACACCTACTTTCCATCGTGTACGCTCCCAGGAACAAATGTTAAAGAGGTGGGTAGCACTATCGTTAAGACAGGTAAGGATTCTGGAGCAATGAAGGATCTTAAATACAACGACAAGTTTTTGCTCACAATGAGAGAAGCTCACTCGAAAAAGCACTAAAAAAGCAAGAGACGTTGCAAATGTTTGGATAAGATTAAATACTGATTCTGCGTGTAGGTAGGACTTAATACCTTAGGACAATATATGAGTAGCAGACGTAACTCCTAGTTTCCTTCATTTTGTTCATTATTATCTCACTTTTTTTCTTCATGATATCACATAATATTAATATTCCTAATATGAATTTTGTACTTTTTTCTCTACCATTGTTTTCTGTCAAGTCCTGACTCTCTAACCATATACCATTACACACAAACACATATAACAGGAAAACAGTAAAGGACAAAGAGGATGAGTGAGAAACAAACAGCATGGAGCAGAGAAAAACTGACAAGACAAAATGTGCTGAGCCTTCTGTTACACAACTGTGAGCATGGCATTGCCATTGTGAGCACAATATGCATATAAAATAATGCTGAAACAGGTCACAGAAATGCACTGAATCTTCATGAACTCTAACTGTACAAAAGACTTGAACAAACAAATGATTATTTGAAATAATTTCTTAACACCCATTCCAGTCCTCCTATTTTTTAAAAAAAATCCAAACTACAAGGAAGATGAACATCAGTTGTTTCCTCCCTTCTTATTTTTTTGTTCTAGGTTTGGACCTTCTCCTTCTCTCAATATTTCAGTAAAAGGATGTTGCGTTTTCACTCCTTCCTGGGCTTCTTTAGACATTTATACTTCCAGCAATACTGAAGAATTTTCATGTAAGCTTCCTGCAGCTCCACTGTAATTAAATTGTGTTTCTCCTACCTAGTTTCAAGACTTATAACAGCAAATGTGGACTGCCCCAGCTTTGTACAACAGCTGGGGATCTCTTCCAGCAATAACTATATGTAGCTGTGAAGGTCCTTACACTCCAAGTAATAGTGAAAGCCTGTAAAATATATATTCATTTAGCAATTAGGCTGCCACTTTATAACTACTTACTTCTATTTTCTGTATAATATACTATGCATAAGCAAATTAGCCTTTCTGGCATGAAAAGGCAAACTCATAACAGCATCTGAAAGCCATTGGTACTGTTAATATTGCTGCATTAGAAAAAATGGTGTGTTCACATAGCTGTATGATGTCACTGCATGCGGCATTGCTATTACAGAAGAAAGAGTATCCCCATTCTGGTCTTTGCATGAGAATGCAATGAAAATCTGCACCAGTTACAAAATGGTCAGGCATCGTGGCTCCTTCAGTGCCAGAGACAGAGTTTCTGGAACCTGAAGAGTTTTGCAAGATGTAAAAAACCACCATTAACATCCTGCTGATTGCCTTTACAGACCTGTGATGCAGATGATCAAAACACTGATGAATTCACTGGCTTTTCTGAAATCACATCATACAAATCCACCCATATGAAGAGACATACAAGCTCTTCCCCATCTGTGACTCATTTACTCGGTGTACGCTTTCCACTCAGGAGTTTCAGCAGGTCATCAGAAAAATCCTGTTACCAGGGTCTGTGGGGGGGGTGGTGCCTCCACAAAGTCAGTATCATCATTCTCCTTAGAAGAGGAGAGCCTTAAGAACTGAGCACACTGTGTGTCTGTGTATACGACTACAGAGAACGAGAAGTCTGTGGATTTGTACCACAGGCTGAGGAGAAGCAATAACTGTCATTGTTTCCGTGCATGCGTAGTGTGTCCAGTATCGGGCAGCGAGGATGATGTGCAGCAAAGAAAACCTCAGTGCAGCTGAACTCAGCCCTTCATGTGTAACTGTACTGTACAGCAGCAGTCATTCTTCAGCTCCTAGATCCACCCTTTGTGTAATTTTCTTTCTTTCACTCTTTTAAAATCAAGGAAGAGGAAATTTACAGATCCATGGGTTATACTCAGTGAAGCTTTCCACTGTGGTTTTTTTTTGGTATCTTGTTTTGGTATACATATTTTTTCTTTAATAAATATATATGTTCTGGGGTTTTTTTTGTCGAGCACTTTCCACTAGATGGAGACAGGACACTGGATCACTTTGTCCTCCAGGAGGACACTGACAATCAGGAACACAAAATAAAGCCCAAACATGAGGAAACCCAGGATTTTATTCATCCTCCACTTGCAGGAAGCAATGGAGAGGATGACAAAGAGCAGCATGATGAAGAGGAGGACAATTGCACAGAACAGACCATTGCTGCTGACTGCCACTGGGGCAAAACTGTTAATCACAGCATACAGGAGCCATGGAAGAGGAAGGCTGTTAAGAAACAGAAAAAATAGTTTAAAACATTGCAGAAGACCAGAAAGAGGCACTAGAAAGTTTCTGGAGACAATTCAAAATACAATCAGAGGCTTCCTGTGTAAAGTGAGGCAGGAAGAGTTTCAACTCTTCTAATATGTACACAAATCTAACTTGTCAACTTGCTCATAGTTCTTGGGGAGAACACATGGGATTTATGGTCCCCACTCTTCCACTAGTTACACTGGTGAACTGTATTTCCCTTGGCTGACAAATCAACTGGCATCCTATCTGTGAGCAGGAAGACCTCTTTCATTTGTTTCTGGATTTCACACCATCTGTGGGAGAAGCTATGCACACTCTCTTTCCAAGAGCATGCATGACAGGGGGATGGGTTACATAAAAACACGTCCTTGCCATGAAGAAACGGCACTCTGCAAGACACTGTCCACAAAATTTGGTCCTTAAATGCCTGAAATTTGGCCCTTAAATCCCCATTTACTGTATAAACCTGTGTTCAAATGTGAACTTCAATTGAACTTCAGCTTAATTTCTATTTCTGTGTTTGCTGTCATTGCATTTCTCATCTCTCAAACCACAGAATGAGGTAATATCCCTTTGCAAGATGTCAAGCTGAAATAAATATTTAAGACTCTGACTGGAGCTTAGCAGGCTTAGAAAGCATGAAGTGAGTTGTCAGAAGCTCACAACCTTAAAACTTCAAATAAGCAGCTCAAGAGAGAATAATTTATTGCAGCTGCAGTACTAACTACACCAGTCTACAGCTGAACTGTGCCATTTCTGTTGTAAATATACCAAGTCTAGCAGAGTGGTGCAGGACAAAACCATTTCTATTGGCAGGAAGAGGCTAAACATTTTTTTTAAAGTAAGAAAGCATTGCAAAAGAGAAAAGTTTTGTAATGCACCCTAGGTACTCCAAGTTGGAGCACATGGTTTTCATATATTTTGCAGATTTTCTGCATATAGATATTATTTCAAACACTTCATGCTTCCGGATTAATAGAAAAAAAGGAGCCCAGTTTTCCTATGTCTAAGGTACTGACACTTACAGATGAAGTAAAACAGACATTTACTATCTACTCCTACTTCAGGATCCCTTTTTGCATCTGTGCAGTTGCTGGTATATTTTCAGCAGCGAAAACCATGATTAGGCTGTTTGGCACTAGATCTGCTCTTCTGTTTGAGTGATGGCAAGAAACAACCAAAGGCAGAGAAACTGACAGTATGGACATGATTCTCAGTACCTCTATCTTCTAGTGTTGAAGATGGGAATGTGGCAATAAAGACAGAGTGTATCTATGTACTTCCCGCACATTTTTCAAATACCGAGGCATAGATGACATTAGTTCTGGACCTGATGTACCTTGGTCTCAAAGGACCAAAAAAGGATTTTGAATTCCAACCTCATGCCACACATCGTTATCTTAGTGAAGCAGTAAAGTGTAAATAGCAAATTTCTGTACAATCTCATGTAGCTTCACATTGTCAAGAGCTATATAAAGAGTGCTTTTTGTTAAGAAAGAATTACTTCGTAATTTGGGACTTGCCAGGTATTAAAAAAAATTAATCACATGTCAACAGCAGCCTAAACAAGCTACTCAAAACAATGACATTCCATTGTTATTACAGCAAGCATGTTGAATACTGCAGAGGCAATGAATTGTTCCTGATCATCATTTAGAAAGAAAGCTCTAGTATAAGCAAAATGAATGGTAATGGAAAGCAAACAGCAATCTGACAAAAGCATAAAAAGCTTTAAAATTCCTTCTTGGGAAAATGCTCTTGCTCACTTTTTAAAATGCAATTCACTTGCCTAGGCACCTCTGGAATGTATCAAAGCAAGAATCAGGGAACAAATTAATAACAATTCTGTCATGCAAATGTCTATAAACTTCAGAGCACTTGCCACAGTAACATTCATAGAATATTTGTATCACTCTCCTTTTTAAGGATTGCTGCTCGTGGGTGCAATGTTCTAACAACAAAAGACTTGTTTAAAACGGACACAATTTTCTTGCTGTAGGACTTACCCCACTGTGATGTCAAATATGTTGCTTCCAACAGAACTGGACACAGCCATGTCCCCCAGACCTTTGCGTGCTACAATAACACTGGTAATAAGGTCAGGAATGGATGTGCCAGCAGCTAGAATAGTCAATCCCATGATTTCTTCGCTAATACCAATGGTCTCTCCAACCTAAAAGGGTTTAAGGAAAAACAGAAAAAAAAGTGTCCTGTAGTGAAGAAACATTTTCTGCTGTAAACCTATTTAACCAGGAATATTATCCTGGACTTGCCGACTATCTTGAATACCCAGCAAGATTGAAGAAATACTCATTTTCACACATCTCCACATCTATCAGGAGAGAGATAAGACTGTCACAGAGAAGTATAAGTTATTGACAAACAGTTGCTGATAGCTCTCATGTTACAAGAATGATCAAGTCCTGTGGACAGGAGAACCACAGCTCTCTGAACTACTTTCCACTTTGTGAGTAGGGATTTCCTTCATCCATAGTTGCAGCTTCTAAAATAAGGCACTACTCAGCATGACAGAGGTGAAGGACTCTAATTCTAAATGATCTCTCACAGTGCAAAACATAATGCAGGGCTTTTATTTTGTACCAGTATCACATCCTTACCTGGTGCGCCCACCAGACCATTAAGTAAGAAAAGAAGGCAATCCAGCTAATAGAGCCGAAAAATGTGAGAGGAAAAAATTTTCTTGATGTCTGAAACACAAACAAAGAGAAACAGTAAAAACCTATGTTGAAGGATGACATGCCATACTCTTATTTGCTTCTCAAAATGACAGTGGCTTGTCATTTCTTCTGATGACCTGTTCTGAGCAAGTATTCTGGTCATCATTAGATGAACAAAATACATTCAAGAAAGGTAAGAAACTGAATTCCTACACTGGTATATATTTACCTATGCCTCATTCTTCCAATTGCTTCAGTTATAAAATAAGACCTCACAACAACTTGTATGATAAATGGCAAATTTTGGGTTGTCATTTGTATCATAATTTGTTATGATGCAGTTTGCATATGTGTTTAGCTGAAAAGTGGTTTGACTTCTAAATTTATTAATAATTTCATGCTTATTCAGAATGAATGTTTTCAAACTGATAAAACAGGCATCCATACCTTTCCTTCACACGTTAGTGACTTTGTGCAACACCTTTCACAATCAGTATAACAAAGAATGCATATGGCAGAGCTAAAAACATACATATTGAAAATTTATTATGGCATTTACTTTTCTATATTACAATAGAAGATCTGCTAAAAACATATTTTCCATGCTTTGTTTTGTAGAGAAATTTGTTATAAAAACATGCAAAGTACAGTGAGACCCTTCAAGGAATTAAAAATTCTGCAACACTTAAGTAACTTTATTTTCATTTTCATTGTCTCCCTTACTAATGTCAAATTTTGAACAGATAGTGTTCTTGCAGCCAATGAATTGGTTATACTCAGTTTAATGATTTATTTTGGTTTCTGTTCTTTCCAATCTTTTAGATCTTCCATATTTCCTGTTGACTATCTAACTGTTACTAACAGGATCTATGTAACAAAAACAGATCGAGTTAACTACTAAAGAAAGGAAAGAGGACTGCAGTACTGCATCAGGCAATCACTATCTATATCAATTTTAAATTATATTTGTACTGTGAATGAATTCTACCAGTCTTGAATGAAACCATTATCTTTATGATCATGGACCTTCTGAACACAGATCCCTACCCCAGATGATTTCTGACATGTGATGAGCAGAATCCACAAATTTTCATGAATAAGCACTAGGACTGCCTGTGGAAGTAAGTTATACCACTCTGAATACCTATTCCACCTGTTGCTCAGTCCTGCACTACTTCTTCCTTTAGGTCCTTGATAAATTCACTTCCACTCCAGAATTTTTATGCCTGCCTTCACTACAGCTCATGCCACTGCTGCACCAGGAGACTCATTAGCCTGTGGATCATTCCTAGGTGCTGTGGGAGTAGACAGCATTGCAGTATTTTCCCTGAATGTGACTTTTAGAGAGAAAATACTAATTGGATATTGCCAATTTAGCTTGCTCAAGCCATGACAAATACCTCTTTTTTAGGGAGTTTACAGAACTTCACAGCCAGCTTTTCTTGTATAACAAACACAAGAGGCATTTATATAGAACAGCCTCACATTTAGGAACTGATCAGCATGGCAGAACAGGCTGGCTGTAGACTAAGAGGTGGTCAGTGAGTTGGGTTGGCCATTAATGCTGGTCAAGCAGGAATGTCATTGTCTTGTCAGCTGAACCAGAAAACACTGAGGCTGGTCTGCAGCTCAATGAAACTGTGTAGACTCTTTCTGCTGACGTAACTAGGATGAGATCAGGACATTACTGGTGGGAAAAAACATGAAGTCAGCAATGGCAATTGTGCACACTCAGTTACAGAATGGGACAAATAGAAGGTCTGTATCTGCTCCAGAAGCAGGTGCAGCTGTAGTTTGTGCTACAGAATATTTACTCACTCCCTGCGTGCAATTTGCATAATGCTAAATGTCCTCCTGAAACCTGAGAATGTAAACGTTGACTAACATGGCCTGTACTACTCCACAAGTGAATATACATAGGAACACATATTAAAAATGCTACAGACAATGAGCTTATAATGTTTAAATCTACTCAGATGGACTTTTAAGTTTAAAATGAAAACTTTATATGCATTGGGGGACAGAAGACCTTAGTCTGAAAAGGAACATAATTTGAAATGAACACAAAGATGACTTTTAAAATAGTGATCTGACACCAGTGGGAGTAGAATTGAGTCTGGTAGGGATGAATCTAAACAGCAACTTCCTTTTTAAAAACTAAACACCTAGCACTTCTTTTTTTTCACCATTCTTAGTAGCCAACTGTTTCAACTTACAACATTTTTTGTCTTCCTTGTAAAAACCAGGATTTTTTGGCAAAACGTATGGTGAATGAGATGAAGCAATACACTTATCACAAAATCTGCAAAGAGCACCTTGTAGCAATGCAATTTAAATGATCACTTGACAACACTCAAGATACAAGCAGACACTGGCTTACACAAAAGTAATACAACAAGAGCTGTACTGACCAGTAATAGCTCTCTGATACTGCGATTATATATATATCAAATGGTTCTTGCCCAACAAGGAGACATTGCCTATCTGAATCAGACACCCACATAATTCAGATGGCTAAGAATTATGAGTCAGTAACTTTGCAGCATGTGTACTCCTCTCCTGTCTTAGCTAATCATCTCCCACTAAAATTAACTGTTAAGCTGCAGTTCAGGACTAAGAGTACTTTAATAGGCTTAACACTTAAATTACCTATTTTAAAATGGGAACATTTAAACTCAAAAAGGGCAAAATTTAAAGCTTGTACATTTTACAGGTGGTGAAATCCTCCCGGCTGCCAGGGCACTGCTGACTCATATTCAACTTGCCATCGACCACGACCCCCAAGGTCTCTTTCCACGGCTCTGCTTTCCAGAATCTCATTACCCACTCTGTACGAACATTCAGGGTTGCCCCATCCCTGGTGCAGAATCCAGCACTTTCCCCCCATTGAACTTCATCTGGTTTGTGATTGCCCACTCTTCTAATTTTTTAAGGTCACCCTGCAGGGCCTCCCTGCCTTCAAGGGAGTCAACAGCTCCTCCCAGTTTTGTGTCATCTGCAAACTTGCTTAGTATCCCTTCCAGTCCTGCGTCCAAGTCATTTATGAAGATGTTGAAGAGCACAGGGCCTAGGATGGAGCCCTGTGGAACCCCACTAGTCTGGTGTTAATCCATTCACTGCTACCCTCTGTGCTCGACCTGTGAGCAAATTGCTCACCCACTGCATGATGTGTTTATCCAGCTGTGTGCTGGACATTTTGTCCAAAAGGATCTCGTGAGAGACAATATCAAAAGCTTTACTGAAATCCAAAAATATTACATCAACTGACTTCCCTTGATAACTAGGTGGGTGACCTTGTCATAAAAGGAAATCAGGTTGGATAAGTAGGACTTTCATCTCGCGAAGCCATGCTGGCTGTGACCAATGACTGTGTTGTCTTTCAGATGCTTTTCAATACTTCTCTGAATAATCTTCTCCATAACTTTAATGGGCACTGAAGTGAGACTTGACAGGCCTGTAGTTTCTGGGGTCCTGTTTCTAGAGGTGATTGTCCCTGCTCTATTCTGCACTGGTGTGGCCTCACCTTGAACACTGTGTGCAGTTTTGGGCACCACAATATAGGAAAGATATTAAAGTCTTAGAGAGCACCCAAAGGAGGTGAACTCCATAGATGCTGCTATCTAATTTGCAGATAGATGAAAATTTTAAAAAGCCATAATGAGAACACTGATTCGTTTTCTGTATGCTAGATTTTATTACAGAGTGTAATAATAATCATGCTTGTTTTGTAACTAATAACAGCATTCTTTTGAGATATATCTCATTGTAACTCCCTAGCTCTCTGAAATACAGAGAGCTGCCAATTCTAAGCATTTTCCTAGAAGAACTGGTCAGAGACAGCAGACAGCAATATTTCTCTTTACCTCTTTTGGTAGCTGTTGTTATGGTTGCCTTGTAAAGACAGAGTACCTAGCTTATTACCAATTGGTTCTTTTGTGATCCTGGTAGCAGACAAACAAGAAAAGCCATGGCTCATTCAATTTGTATGCTATTTTCCTTTAACAAAAGAGAAAGGATTTTCTAGTTTCACTGTAGATTAGATGGATTAGTACTATTCCTGTCCATAAGCAACCTTAAGGACACTTTTTTTAATACATTTCTGTATTTATTTCACACCAGTGTCTGAAAAACAGGGCTATAAGTAGAAAAAATGATCCAAATATGAAGGCTTTCTCCTAAGAGCTTGATCCTGAAAGGTAGTGAGTACTTAATAATTTGCAAGGTAACTGTCTTAATTTTAGCCAGTATTATTACCAACATCTTTAACAACCTGAATGATTCATATATTTGTCATGTTAATAAATTTATCTGCATTGAAAAGTTTGATTTTTCTTTCACACTTAACAGTGCTTAATGGATTACTCAGAAGCAGCTCCTCTAACTGGATCTGTACAGGAACATGTTGTCCTTGTCCCCTTGGTAACACTGCATCTCTGTATGGCAACAAGAGTTCATGGAAGTGGTAACGCTTTGTTTGTAATGAGAATTTACATACTTTAATTTTATACTCCAGTGACAGCAGGATCAGAGCCCCAGTAGCCATTTTTCTGGCCTGTACCGCAAAAGTTGGACAGTGGAGTAAGGTTTCTGCTGTGCCTTTTGCAACCGGACGCGCCTATCCCGTATTGGCCTTTTTAGCCACCAGCGCGCTTGTAACAAATGTGGGTAGAGCCCTTCCCAAATCTTCGTTCGCGAAGCCTAGCCGTGATGACCGCAAAGGTTGGACAGTGAAGTAAGGTTATAACAAAAGACATGGTGTTCAATATCTGCTCCTGACCCACTTGGGGCACCTTGGTCACATAGTTTTTCTTTCCATCTTTCAATATCTGTTACTGCAGGAGGTGGACAGTTACATATGTGACCTTTACAGAGCCATGAGGGAAATAAGCTATTAGTACAGGAAAAATACCTGTTACTGTTCAAAACACCTGAACAAAAACTTAGGTACAAAATTCCCCAAGGGCATACGTACCCCCAGGATTCTGCCAACAACATAATTGATGTTTTAGTAAGGATTTTAATACATACTGGCTTACTGTCAGCACGTGTTATTGAGGCACTAAACACATTAAAACACCTCAGCTAGTGAATCAGCTGACAGTTAGCTGAACTAATGCATAATCTACTCTAAGTATATAAAAATTTGCATATGTGTACACCAGAGCATAATAAGGCAGCAGGATTTCGCTAACTTTAGAACCGGAGACCTTGTCGATAAAATAAAATTTCTAGAGCTTCTATGTTTCATGGAGCTACATATAGCTTGGTATTGTACAAGTAAATGCAAGCAAACTGTCTCCATTATGTGGAGATAAAATATACATTCAAAAAGAGACTCTATGAGGAAAGAAGAACTCACTTTTTGAAAACTGGACATCCACAGAGGATGTCAAAGGCTTCATACAGTCTTTCCAATAAGTATATACCACACAAGTGTTCACTTTATATATCCTCATGCTAATCTGAGCATCCTGATGCAGAATTTTTGGTTTCTGACTAAAATTACTACACTTGCAAATAAAGCCTCTGATGGTAGGCCTACCTAAAAAAAAAAATCTATATAAGTATTATTTTAGGTTTGCTTTAACTTTTGCCTCACAGATTTAAATGAAAGTTGTTTTGTGATGCACATGCTGAACTGTGATATTGGGTTTTGTTCTTATTAGGAAGGAATCAGTGGGGATAACACACAGACATAAGGGAGAATATTTTAAAGACACACTAATGAAGCATACTTGAAATTTTACATAGTTTATGCAATCATCTGGTTAATTCTTTGACAGTAATGTTCAAAGTAAGCAGCTTGTCATACTCACACAGCTTCTTACCTTTTCTGTTAATACTACATGTAATTGCAAACTACATTTTTTTTTTTGGTATAAAAAACTACTCTTTTCAGCAAATGAAGTTTTAAAGCTCTGTTGTCCACTTGCCTATCTGGCATATACAACTTTGCTTATTTTTTGTGCTATGGCAAAATATGTCAGGATGCCAGTTCTATTGTGAACAATACTAGTGCTAGTAATAATCACATGCATCACACAGTTGCATGCAACTTGTTGAGATAGTCACTTTCCAAAACAATTATTTAAAAAGTTGTTCTCATTTGTACAGTACAGAATATTGGATAAAGCTACAGGTCTACTGATGGTAACTTCAGATTTTCAAAATAATGCCAATACATATTTCTCATTCATTTTGGACCAAATTATGAAAAAAAACTTACAGGTGTGGTTTTGAATGACAAAAGGAGGGCATAAATACAGAAATAAACAATATTGACATTCATTTAGTATGCTCTCTGTTACCAAACAAAAGTGATTAGCACAGTTGTTTGAAATCTTTAAGAAAAGGAAGCTTAAAAATTGCAAGAGAAAATGTCACTTTATAGCCTTTGAGAAACCTTTATGTAAAAACAAATCAGAGGTCTTATTTTAGCTTCTTTCTTGCACTGAATTGCAATTTTTTAGCATTTTCATTTAGGAATGGAAAGTTTTTCACTGTGCATGAGGAGGAAAAAAGGATTCAGGGTGTTGACTTATATGCTGTGCATCCCACTCTTGCAGCAGTTTTAAACCTGTTTTTGGTCCAGAAAGGAAAAGAGATTAAAACACTACTACTAAAGTTTTTTTTTAGCTCTTGAATTTCTCTCTTTTACTTTCCATGAGCCTTCCTAGTCAGGTATATGTTTTGTATATGTGAGTATAAAACTGATAAGGCTTGGTAACTTGTCACAGTAAATCCTTTGTTGTCAGTCTTAAATTACTTAAAGCTGTGTTTGGGACAAAACTAGCAAGTATTTTACACATGAAGGGACTTACAGATATTGTCCTAGTATGAAAATTACAAGATGATAAGTAGAAGACAAATGTCTAGTAGAACATGAATTTTAGAGAAATGCATATCATTATATTTAAAAAAAGGAGAAAATTTAGGCAGTCTAAAATCTTTCCAGTTGTATGCTTTAGGGCACTGAAGATGGACAGACTTACTTAGCACTTTTGTGATATTCAATAGAGATTCAGAAATACAGATGTGAGGGCCCCAAAGAAGTTCTCGGACCTTTCACTTTATGTTATAAAATATTACGAATATAAATTACAATCTTTATAGAGCTATTATCAACCAGTTGCTCATAAGCACCCATTTGCCGTTTGAAGACTGATACTGTTACATCTTCTTCAAAGAAGAAACTCTTAAAAAAATCCGTTAGCTCTATTTTTACATAAATCCACTACAGTTCTTTCTTGGCATTTAGCTAGAGATCTAACCCTTTTGTGTAGAACACACTGCAATAATGCAACAACCGTTACTTACAGGTTTTCTAACGTCTGGTAGGGTAGCCCACAGTGGAAAAACAATGGGAAACACAAAAAGATAGGTGAGCTGCTTGCGTCGGGTTTCAGGCCAAGCCAGGCTGAGAGGCTGCTCCTCATCCTCTTCATTCTGTAAGAATGCAGTGAGCAGAATATCAAAGTAGATGAATGAGATTAGGGATTCTTCCAAAAGGCGTTCTGAGAATGGTGTTGTGTTGCAGTGAGAACCATGGACTCTGAAAACATTGCATTAACACCACACCTACCTAACAACATTATTTAGAACACAGTAAAAATTAATCTGGCCAGACTGTGAGGTATCCCTGCAGCATAGGCTGCCTAAGGACATATATTTGTGGCTGGTCCCTTGGGATGCACAGAATGTTTCTGACAAGTGTTCCCAGAGCTCTCCCTTGAGGTGTGGGCTAGTATAGTCAGGGATTAAGACATCTGTGGGCAGCATCAAGCCCAGCCATATAGATGAGAGAGAGAGAGAGAGAGAGAGAGAGAGAGAGAGAGGGAGAGGGAGAGGGAGAGGGAGAGGGAGAGAAATATTTAAATGTGCATATAGATGTATACATATATCTAACTTTTTAAGCTTTTGTGAGTAACTTAAAAAGTTACTATATAAATATATGTCTGTATATGTATGTATTGTTTTGTTCGTAGGATCATTGGGTAATTCAGGATGGTAGGCACCTGTGGAGCTTCACTGCTGAGCTGGTGTGGTCAGGCTGGACTGCTCAGGGCTCTGACCAGTCAAACTGTGAAACCATCAATGATGGAGATAGCCCAACCTCTCTGGGCCCCAACACCATCGCTGGGCTGTCCACATGAGGAATAGGCTTGTCCTTGTCTCCAACCAAAGACTCTTGCGTTTAGACCAGCCACAATGCAGCAGTATTCTTAACAACTTGGTGCTAAAACTAAAGACATTCCTCTCCTATCGATGTAGCTGATTTTCACATTGATCTCTAGTCTCCATTTATGTGTAAGCTGCCCACCTGTTACAGAGTAGATGTATAGGAATCCTCTCCTGTGAGAAAACATTTGGCTGCCACACACTTCTCTTTCCTTAGAGTGCTCCTCCTAACAAAATGGAACCCTCTCACTGACAAGGAAGCAAGCAAAGTGGGCATGATTCAAGCTTTTGCATGCATGTATTGAAATAACTTTTAAACTTATAGGTAGCCTATGTCTCCAGAATTGCACATCTATCTAACACATATTACAGAATAAGACAACTGAAAAAATGGCCTAAATGGTTCTTTCACATAAATGTGTGTAATGCAAATTGTTAATCTTGTGGAAAGATTTTCTAGAGAGCTCAGTGAAAACTAAACAAGTCCAAAAAAGAGCACCTAGTGAAAACTGTTTGAAAGCATGAGAAGTATACAACAACTTCTTCATGTAGTGTTCTTGCTTTTTTCTTTTGAAAAAAGATAGCAATTGAGATAGCTCTGCAATATGCATGTTATTCTTCCTACAGATTTATAATAGGTTTCTTATAATAAGTTTCTTATAATAGGTTTCTTCTGTCTTAAGATTGCTTACATAAAACTTATGACAATAATATATGGAGCAAACATTTGAATGACCACATCAGTTATTTTTTTCTAAGCAAAAGAGTTATTGATGAAATGTCACCATATGTTGGTATTGTTCATAACATTTTCTACTTACTGCTAATTTTGACTAAAGAACTGGTCTTAGTTATTCCACTATTATGAACTCCTGAATTGTTTGACTACCCAGCTACCTGACCTGATCAGTACCTAGAAAAGCAAGTGCCATTCTTGGCTCAGGATCTTCCACTCTGATAGTACCACCTGACACTGATGGTGTCAGGTGTCAGATAAATCCTTATTTATCTCTTGACACATTGACAGGTTGCAGCTACTTTTGAGTTATGTGTTGATGTCAACAGAAGACCATATATTGTTAATCCCTATACTTTGTGAAACTCCCAACTTGCATGACTGTAAGACAATAGTAAAGTGAAAAGCTCATAAAGGTTATAATATTAAAAGATTTTTAAAAGTATATAGGCACAATTTGTCACACTCAACACAGTACTTTAAAGACTCCTGAGCAGCTTAAGAGGCTAGCTTTTGCCTTTAGCTTTCAGTTCTTCACTGAAGAGGACAACCTATGCTTCACTGCTGCAATCTACTGAAGCCTGACTTTTGGGGAACTGTGCTAGAGCAGGAGTTTGTGCAGCTACTTCCTAAAAAACAAATCCATTCCTTTTCCATTCTGGTAGATGCTATTGGGGTGGGAAAATCAACCTGAGATGGAGGCTTAGCTTTGAAATATGATGACTGAGATAAAACTGGGGCACAAAAGGACCAATTGAAGGGTTGCCTAGGTAACTCTTTCTGAATGGCCCATGTGTAATTCAAGCAGCAGACTCAGCTGGAATAAAGCTCAGTAAGTGACTGCTGCATAAACAGCACTGAGTGGCAAAGTACTTCCTGAATTGCCATCTTTAGAGATTAGCCATGATTAACAACTCTAGTTAATCACAACAAATCTTTACATTAGTCTGAGCTTGCATGTGTGTCTGAAAAATATACAGAATGCAATGTCTGTATTGGTTCATGTAGGACTGTACTAGTACTCACTCTACTTCAACGCCGGGTATCATTCTAGTCTCGTGGCTGTGCCAAATACCATTGGGTGTGCATGAGCGCACAGGCAACATGAGTGGGTATAGCAAAGGACCACAAAGAATTGCTTTTGTAGATTGCCAGATATCTCCTGAGAAACCTTGATCCATCTTTTGAGATATTTTCACCTTCCAGTTGTCCTACCTCATCTTTCTCCCCAAGACAACTATCCCCAAATTATAAGGCCAAACTCAGGCTCATAGTGCAGGCAAAACCCTTTTTCTTGCTAGTTTAACTCCAGGATGCATTACAGATGCTACAGAGTCAATATTCATTTCCTATTTTGTAAATTGGATTTGGCATCTAATTTTCAATGCTGACCTTCCAAAAATCAGTGGAAGTAAGGAAGTTCAAAGTACTTGTAGATGTAGCTTCTATGAATTTCAATGCAATACTGAACTATCCACTGAGGCTTAAGAAATGAATGGGAAAAATTTTGGCAGGTCTAAAACCACACAAATGTGAGTGTCATGCTGTGGACTAAGCAGCAGTGGTAGAAAATGACTCAGCACAGATTTATGGAAGAGATTATGTGCACCATCAGCGGCTCCAGCCTATCTGCAATGTACATACTGAATATGCATTATCACAGTTTGTAGAAATTAATACTTCAACTACAGTTTTGATTTATTTTAGTCTGCATGATGAAAATTCAATAGCTGCAATGTTCAGTATGATTCTTTTCTTCAGTACTATGAAGAAAATGTAATGATAACATGATATACACACAGGAATTCAGTTGCCTGAATACATATGGTGGTGCCATTTTAGATACTTTTTGGTATCTCTCTTGACCTTCACATGCTCCACCAAAAATGGAGAATATTCTGCTCATTTATGACACACCTTCCACCACTGTGCAAAAATCTCCATTTATCTAGGGCAGCCTAAGTGCTACTACCTACCTATCTATACTCCAAAACTCATTACCTCCTATGACTCTAGCTAATCAACTTTAATGATACTGGAGCGGACATATGGGAAAGCTGCATCAGTTGACATGTTGAATTCTGATGATAATCCCTTAGAGAGAAACAGCCATATTATATCAGACCAAAGGCCAATTTACACTGATATCTTGCTTCTGGCAAAGGTCAGACATGGGCACTCAGAAAATAAGTGTTGGAATGTGACATATTTTTTCATCTTTCACAAATTCATAGAATCATTGAAACATTTATGTCAGAAAAGACACCTAAGATCATCAAGTCCAACCGTAAACCTAACACTGCCAGCTCCACCACTAAACCATGTCCCCAAGCACATCTACGCATCTTCTAAACACCTCCAGTTATGGTGACACAACAACTTCCCTGGGCAGCCTGTTCCAGTGCTTGACAACCCTTTCCATGAAGAAATTTTTCCCAATATCCAATCTAAACCTCCTTTGACATAATGTGAGGCCATTTCCTCTCATCCTGTCACATGTTAATTGGGAGAAGAGACCAACCTCCACCTGGCTGCAACCTCCTTTCAGGTAGTTGTAGAGAGCTGTAGAGAATAAGGTCCTCCCTGAGCCTCCTTTTCTCCAGGCTAAACAACCCCAGATCCCTCAGCCACTTCTCCTAGGACTTGTGCTCCAGTCCCTTCACCAGCTTCGTTGCTCTTCTCTGGACACAGTCCAACACCTCAATGTCTTTCTTGAAGTGATGGGCCCAAAAACTGAACACAGGATTTGAGGTGCAGCCTCACCAGTGCCAAGGACAGGGGGACTATCCCTTTCCTAGTCCTCTGGCCACACTGCTTCTGATATAGGATGCCATAAGGCATCTTGGCCACCTGGGCACACTGGTGGCTTTTGTTCAGCTGCTGTTGACCAGTACAAAATCACAGAATCATAGAATAGTTAGGGTTGGAAGGGACCTCATCTTTTCCACCAAGCAGCTTTCCAGCCAGTCTGACCCAAGCCTGTAGTGCTGCATGGGGCTGCTGTGACTCAAGGGCAGGTCCTGTCATTTGGCCTTGCTGAACCTCATACCACTGGCTTTGGCCCATCAGTCCATCCTGTCCAGGTCCCTCTATAAAGCCTTCCCACCCTCCAGCAGATCAACACTCCCACATTTGTGTCTTTATGTCATCTGCAAACTGACTGACGGTGCACTTGATCCTCTTGTCTAAATTATTGATAAAGATATTAAATCGGACTGGCCCCAATACTGAGCCCTGGGAAACTCCACTGGTGACTGGCCGCCAGCTCGATGCAACTCCATTCACCACCCCTCTCTGTCCCCAGCCATCCAGCCAGTATTTTACCCAGCAAACCATCCACACCCAATGTATCCATCCACACCATAGGAAACCAGTATCTCCAGAATAATGTGGGAAAATGTCAGATGTTTTGCTGAGGTCCAGGCAGACAACACCTACAGCCTTTCCCTCATCTACTAAGTGTGTCAATTCATCATAGAAAGAGAAGAGGTTGGTCTGCCTTTCACAAACCCATGCTGGCTAGATCTGATCC